TTGAATTGATGATTCCGTGTCCTACACTCTGGCATCAAGTGTATGCTGAGATTTATATGCAGCCCTGGTGGCCTTCTGGCCTACCACTGGAATTGAGTGGCAGGGGTGAGGCAGGAGGCAGCAGCAAAATAGCCCCCCTTTGAAGGATTGAGAGGTGGGTTTGGGGGCATGCCCATCCCTGGCCTAGAGAAGACCATCATCTCTTCGTAGGATGATCTTCTGTATTCGAAAGATAAAGAATTCTAAGAAGAAGGAGCAGGAGCCTGATGTTGCCCGTCAGGGAACACCCTGAACAGCGGATGAGCAAGGCTTACCTCTCTAATTGTCGAGGTGTCGATGCACACTAAGACAAGTGGGCAGCAACACCATTTATGCAAATCCAGATCATCCTTTGGCCTCCTTTTCATGGATGCACAAATGGCCACTTTCTTAGCTGTACCTCTAGGGTGGATTAAGATGGTTACATCTTCTGGTGCAGGGCGGGCTTACCTTGAATCTGAGCTCACCTAGACTTAAGCTCTAGACCACATCTTTAGTGTCAGGTTTTTGCAGTGGGTTCCTTTCACTGGTTGGGTCCTCACAACATAACAACCAGTGAGACTCATAAGCAAGGAGTAGCTTGTTATATTGTGTGAACCAGTCCGCATAGCTTATTAACCACCATGGTTCATCTTGCGGTGTGAACCCAATCATCTCTCCATCAAGAAAAGCATCTTTGACTATGTATGGATGACTTATGACTAGGTATCCATGTTTGTTTGTTTGTTTGTTTATCCTATTACATTTCTAATCTACCCAAAGACTAATATTCTCTGGGCAGATTATAAACAAGGTCTGCACACATTGGCTTAAAACTAATTCTTTGCATCTTTATAGAGCTGGGTGGACAGAGTCTGAGGGACCAGTAATGCCACCTTGGAAGGGACTGTTGCAAGTCCAACACCCCTCCCTTGGCCCTCTTCACTCGTGTGGAAAGGGCCACACCACTTGGCCGTCCTCCAGTATTGGAAAATCACCTTGGAGAGGAGCAAAAGGGGCGTTTTGGTGGGTGAGGAGGGAGAGGAGCAGGGAGGTAAGGAGCTTCTTCCAGCCTCCTTCCCTCCCTTTTCAAAACAACTTCACTGGATGTGTAGAAAAGCCCATCTAGCAAAATATGCAGGCTGGGAAGAAGGGGCAATGAACATCACCTCTGCCACTCCTCCTGCCCTGCATGGGCTGATTAGAAGCCTCCAAGTTTGGGGTCTTACACTCTTTGAGGGCACGAGAGACAGGGACACAGCCTTAAGCCGTTCCATCACTCTCACTGTTGGCCTTGGAGATCCGTGGAGCAATTTGGCAAGGTCAGAGTTCCTCCCATGTTGCAGAAGAGGCTTCGTGAGACCTGTGCTTGTGAATTCATGGGGACGGCACTTTTTGGACCCAGGATTTCACAAATCACAGGCATGGAGCATGTCTTGGGCTATTTGTTCTTCCTCCCCAGTGTCAGTGGCATGCAAAATCCTCAATATTCTCAGGGGTAGATCCTATAGAAAGGGACCTCCACCTCCCTTTCTTCCTCCGTAGCTCCCCGTCCATCGTGTGCCAGTCAGATCGCATCTGGAAGGTTCTTCAACCTTCTGGAGGAAATTGGGAGGGGGTGTGCCAGGATGGCTGCAGAAGAGTGTGCAGAACTGCCATACCACAAGCAGGAGTCTTCTTCTGGCAGAGCAAGGATTCTGGATCTAAGCCCATGTCCCCTGTTAACTCTTGTTCTGCAGAAAAGCCTAACCATTCATCCCTGGCTATGTTCTTGTGCTTCTCCAGGAATGCCTCTCCCTCTGCTGCTCTCCCATCCGCAACCTTTTGCACACATGACCACCTCAGCCCCACTATTGCTCTCTTGCGCAGTTCAGGTTTTTATTCCCTCTGCCCTCTGCCCAGGCAAACCCCATACCACCACCTTGTGAAGAATATACATATGTGCAGCACACACATCTGTACAGGTTTAACATCCCTTTAAATGTCTACACCCTCCTCTTTTTCATACTGTCATACACACCATCCTCCATCCTTTCATGCACACAAACATCCACCCCATCTCACCCCACCCCACCCCACCCCACTTCTCTCTCCCCTATCCCTCCCTTCACCCTCTCCCTCTCATCCTTCCCTGTCTCTGCCTCCTTCCCCCTCTCCCCGCTGCTGCATGACTTTTGCTTCTTCACGCTGCTGAGATCTTGCCACCTCATTGGGTGCCTCTGGCCTGCAGTGATGGAGCTGCCACAAAGGAACAAGAGAAACCCGCTTACAGATTCAGAGGCCTGGCATTACAGAGAAGGGAAAGTACGACCTTGCATGAGTTGACACTTTTAGTGCTACATTACTCACAGGAGTAGGGCAATGCTAGAGGGCTGCACAAAGCTCTGCATTGGCTTGTGGGTTACACCTCCTGGCCACAATCCAGGAGGAAATTAAGCATGCTCAAGCCCATTGAAATCCATCAACCGCTCTCTGAAGTGTGGCAGCAGAAAGCAGCACTTCCTCAAGGTTTCAGACTCAGCACCTTTCATTCAGAACTCTGGGACTGAAAATCCATGCCCGTTTGAAGCTAGCCATTTGCAAGGGGAAAGCCTTTGTTCCTTGACATGTGTTTCACAAAGGCAGCCTATATTAATTTAATAAACTAGACCATTTCTTTTAATAAATAATTTTGGCTGAGCTGAAATCATCGCAACGCCTTGTCTGAAGCATAGGCTGATGAAAACCATTTAAAATAGGCAAGCTCTTCCCAGGGGTGCAGGCAGTTGTGATTGTACAAATGGTTTAAACAAGAGCAAGCGGCAGGGCACAACAAGGATATGAAAGGACCGTGTGCAGGTAGAGATGGGGGCTTGAAGACCTCGTTGACCTCCTTTGAAGGGAGTGGGCTGCATGATGGTGGGAACGCAGAGTACCTTCCACATCTGGTTCCACATCTGGAACAACATCTCACTGCACGAAGAAGAAGGCATATACAGGATGAGACGATCTGTTCCTGAATTGTATTTATTTATGGCATTTCTCTCCGGCCTTTTCCCTGCAATGAACCCAAGGCCACTTACATAACATTCCTCTGCATTTGATCCTCACAGCAGCCCTGCAAGATAGGTTAGGCACAGAGTCAATGGCTGCTCCAGACTGGGCTGCCATGCTTTGCTGACTTTAATGGAGATAATGGACAGCATCCAATGCTGCAGCTCTGATTATGTCATTTACTGGCGATGCCACTGAATTTCATTGGGCAAGGCCCATGCATTCATAATACCCGTGCCTCTAGCAAGCTTGGATCACTGTTTTACCAGTTCATCATTAATTGTGGAATAACGGTACGCTTTGGAACATGTGCCGTCTGCAGCTTAGGCTTCACATTTCTGGGCGTGGTATAACCATTTTTGCAGTTTAACACCGTGCATGTGCAAAGCCTCATATACATAGACCAGGGCTGTAGGAGGACTCCATCTGGGCTCAGCTCCCCAGCTCAGATCTGCTGTGATGCAGGCATGAGTCCGGTTTCCTGGTGCGTGTGCCCAGCATCAGTGTGGCTCTCGCCACAAAAGGAGCCCTACACAAATGCTGTGCAAGAAGCATCCCTTGGAAGAAGGCTTCCATCCTCATCACTTTCGCTCTGCAAGGGTTCACGGACTTTCTCTCAGCTCAGGTCAACTCACTTTCCGAGTCAGGGCTGAGCAGGAGAGGAAGTCCACAAATGCTGGAGGGATGGATTCTGTGGGGCTTTGATCATTTGTAACATAGAGTGAGATCTCAAATTCCCACAGGACTCCTATCCACGCTGACATGGGAGAATGAGTTACTTTCCAAGTAAATAGCAAGTTCACTCATCACAAGCAACTCTATGCTGGACTAATGAGTTTTCTGGGGAAACCCACAGGGCCAGCCCAAGCTAGTGGCATTATGGAGAGGTAACTTGCACTGATGTTATGTTGCTGATATAAGCAGGGCAGCGCTGTGTAGGAACTGGGCCTGTTTCTCCCAAAATACAGCATTCCAAGGTGGATTTATTAGACTCTCCATCTGAATGGGCAAGGTTGGAATTCTTCGCTGAAATGTTAGGACCAGCAAGCCTCAAAATAAACCAGGCAAGTGATGAAAATCAGAGAAGCACTGTTGAAGAAGCAAGGCCAGAGAGGAAGGGATGTAACATAAGCAGCCCCATCGTCTGATACAAGTAGGCTCATTGATAGCGTCCAGCATGTTGCTACCAATGACATGGGGAAATGAAGTCCTGAGTTTCTGAAAGCCCAACTTAGACTGCTAGTTAGAAGGCTGAAATCTAGGATCACCAATGTGGCTTCTTCTGAAATGTTGCCTGTTTCCCATGCACAGGGCAAGCAGATAAGGCACAGCTGAGGAGTCCCAGTGTGTGGGTGATATGGTGGTGAAAAGAAGCAGGGCTCAGCCTTTCTAGGCAGTGGAGAACATTTTTGGGATAAGCTGAGCCTGTACAGAAGGGACTGACTCAACTTGAACCAAAATGCAACCAGGCTACTGGCTCATAGCATAAAAACAGTGGCAGAGCTGCAGAGTAGCTTTTAAACAGAACCCCAGGGGAAAGCCGCCAGGAATAGCGAAGCATCCAGTTCAGTCTGAATTATTCCTAGGGGATGAAGAGGGAAAAGTTTCTGATTGCCCAAATGTAGGAAATAAGCCACAAGCATATGGTGAGACATGATAACCAATCAGAAAGACCCTAGGTGCCCAAACCCAGGTAGCGCATGTCTGGAAAGGGACATAGTGTTTAAATGTTTCTGTGCAAATGCTGCAAGATACCAAGCCAGAATAGGAGAGCTGGGGTGCCTGGTTTTAAAGGAGAAGCTAGCTATACTGGGCATAATGAAAATCTGGTGGGTTGGAGAGAAACAATGGTATACGGTCATCTCTGTATATCATTAACAACATCAAGGCCAACAATATTTTTTTAACGTATCAAGAAAACAGAAGCCATCTGGAAAGGCAATTGAACCATGGGGTGAGAATGAAATTAAAGGAGCTCTAAAGAAGGATAAGGAGATTGCAGAGAAGCTGAATGAATTCTTTTCAGCTGTCTTCACCGTGGAAGATGCAGAACAGACAATTCTGCCTGAAGTGTTGTTTTCAGGAAAGGAGTATGATGAGTTAAGGTAGATAGTGGTAATAAAAGATGAAATTCTCAACCTTACTAGCAATTTGAAAATCAGTTTGCTGCCAGGTCCTAATGGTATCCAGTCTAGAGTTCTTAAGGAATTCAAATTTGAAATCATTGACCTGTTTACAAAAATATTTAACTTGCTCCTAAAATCAGCCTCTGAACCAAGGAAGGGGGAAATGGCCAATGTGACACTAGTTTTTAAAAAGGGATCTGGGAAATTACAGGCTGGTCCGTTTAATGTTTGTTCTAGGTAAATTGGTTGAAAACATTATTAAAGATAGAATCGGTGGGTATCTGGAGGGATATTCTTCGCTGAAATAGGATCAACATTTCTTCTGCAATGGTAAGTCCTGTCATACTGATCTATTAGAGTGTCAATAAACACATGGATAGGGGCAATCTGGTAGACTTGGACTTCCAAAAGGCTTTTAACAAAGTCCCCCATCAAAGACTCCTGTGCAAACTCAGCAGCTTGCATAGCCTGCCTGCATAGCTGTACACTGAGCTAGCATGTTAAGTCACCTTTGCTAAGCTGGCAAGGCATGGGCCTGCAGCTGGATGGGAGACCACATGTGGAAGCAGAGCAGGGGGTTGGACTTGATGGCCTTATAAGTGCCTTTCAACTCTACTACTATTCTATTCTATTCTATTCTGTCATGGAGTAAGAGTTCTTCTTATGGATCAGTAAGTGCATAAAGAATAAAAAGCAGAGAGTGGGAATAAGTGGTAATTTCTCCCAATGGAGGGATGTGAAGAGTGGGGTCCCACAGGATTCTGCATTAGGACCAATGCTCTTCCACCTACTTATAAATGATCTAGATTTCTGCATGAGCTGCAAAGTGGCCAAGTTTGCTATTGACACCAAACCATTTAGGGTGATTAAAACCGAAAGGCATTGTGATGAAAAGAAAATAAAACTGCCAAGATCATAATTCCCTTATACAACTCAGTGTTAAAATATCATGACCCATTCTGGTCATTACATCTAAAAAAGCACAGTATTAAGTTGGAAAAGGGCAACTAAAATGAACAAGGGCAGCTCCCCTATGAGGAATGGTTACAACATCTGGGATTGTTTAGCTTAGACAAAAAAGGCAATTAAATGGATGCATGATAGAGGTGTTCAAAATTATGCCTGGTGTGGAGAAAGTGGATCAGCAGATATTTTTCTCTGCCTCCCATAAGGTTAGAGCCCAGTGTCATGCCGTGAAGCTGACTGATGGGAGATTCGGGACAAATAAAAGGAAGTCCTTCTTCACACAGCACCTACTTAAACTGTGATGGTCACCAGGGAGTACTGATAGTCACAAATGTGAATGGCTTTAAAAGGGGATTGGGTCCATTTATGGAGGAGAAGGCTATCAGTGGCTGCCAGTCTTGATGGCTAGGCACTGCCTCCAGGATCAGAGGCAATCTGCCTATGTACATCAGTTGCTGGGGAACCCAGGCATATGTTATACTCCTAGCCTGCTTGAGGGATCCTCTGGGCAGCTGGTTTGCACTGTGTGAATGGAATGCTGGACTAGTTGGACCCCTGGTCTGGTCCAGCCTGGCTCTTCTTGGGTGCTTCTTAAGTCAGGCAAGAGTGCTCAGATTTCTCTGTCAGAGATGCCAAGATTGCATTCCTGTTCACCCTCTTACCTGGGAAGAAGTGGATTAATAGAAAGGGACTTATTTCTCCACTGGACTTATTTCCAAGTAGCTATGCATGACTTTTCATTGCTAGATATCCTTTAGAAGTACACTTCTCAGGATGCCTCTGGAGAAAGCTCAGTTATGAAAGGCACCCTCCTATGCATGTTTACACAAGCCCTACAACTCACAGTGCTCCCCAGCCAGCATGATTAGCTGGGGATGCTGAGAGTTGTAGGATATTTTCTATTCAAGCATACACTTCAGCAGGACTATGCCCCCAAATCTGTAATCTGGATATTCCCTAACTTTACAGCTGTGTGCCACCTTTGTTATATTGCTGCCACAGACCCATACAGCTACTATTCAGAGGATAACAGACACCCATGACTGTGAGAAATGGAACATTTTCTGTCATGGCACGGTGACTTTGGAATGACCTTCTGCAGCCAGCCAGCCAGCCAGCCAGCCAAATCTCTCTGATGGCAGTAAAACCTTCGACCTCAAACACCTTTCTGTACCATCGGATATCTCCTAGGAGTCTGACCTGTGCTGGCAGAGGATGAAGGAAGCTTTAGCTCCACAAATCTGGCAGGGCAAGCCTAGTAGGATGGTTGTCCCTGCTTATTATTTGGTTTTGGTCTTTTTCTGCTATTGTATGGAAGAAGTCATGTTATGATTTGCATTGCTTTATGTGATTTTAACTTCTTAAACTGTACAAGCCAGGGATGGTGGGAGGGCCTGGTGGGCTGAAAGTGTAGAGGGTGTGAAATAAAACATCTTAAATAAATAATGGGTGTGTGGGTTCACTTATCCATCACTTGCTTCCCCATCCACTTGACGAGCGGCAGCTGAAGATGTGAACTGACTGCATTGACACGCGTTGCATCTGAATTAGAGGACTCCTGGCTAGTGTTAGAGCCGCAGCTGCAGCCTCTTCATGTGCCCTGGTCAATCCTTTGATGCTGCAGTCATCAAAAGAATGAGGAGCACGTGGGGTGGAAGGAAAGAGGGGTGGCTCAGCCCAGGAGAGAAAGGGTGGGGATTCAAAAAGAGAGCAAAGGGTTCACATCAGAAGGAAAAGAAAAAACAAAGAGCCTTGTGGAGCCTGGAAGGCAGAAGACTCCATCCCTTGCTGGAAAAGAGTTGTGCACGTCAGTCTTTAAAGCGCCGCAGAACTCTTCCTTGTTCCTGTTGCGAGAGACCAACGAGGCTACCCCCGGGAAAGAATTGAGGCAAACTGTTTTAGAAGAGGCTGAGATTTAGGCTGCCATCCCATGCGCTCTTTCTTGGGAGCAAACTCTGTGCAGGACTGCAGGACTTACTTCTGAGGAAGCGCCCCTAACCTCGGGCCCCGTCGCACCACCTTGTCACTTCGGCCGATCGTCTCCCTTCTCCGCACGTGCCACAAGCACGGTCCCGTGTGTGCGTGCGTGCGCGTGTGCGTGCGCGCGCGTGCGCGTGCCTGTTCCACCGCTCCTTTGACCTTGAATCCAACTCGGGGCGCAGCGGAGCGTGCGCTAATGACCCGCTTCCGCTCTTCGCCTTCTCGCAGGGGCGCCCCTACCCCACCCCGGCGCCTTCCCCGAGAGCTCCGCTTTTCATTGGATCGCTCCCGCGCCATTCCGCCCGGCCTGCTCCTCGGCTCCCCGCCTCCCCCGCCGCTCTCTCTCTGTCGCACCCGTTCGGATCGCTTCCTTCCCGTCACGCAAGAACAGAGGTACCTCCGGAGCCTTTTGGGGAGGCTACATCAGCTGACCGGGTCTGCAGCAGAGTCAGAAGGAGAGCACCACTGCAGCGTTTTTAATTTGGCGTGTGTGCGCGCGTATGGGGGGCGGGGGGGGGAGGCCTGCTGTTTGTGCCGTGAATCAAAAGTCGGAACAGTCCCCCCCCTCCTGCCGCCTCCGCCCAAATCCAGTTCAGAAACACCCCCCTCCCCCAGTGCAATTTGCTTTTCCTCCGTGAAATCCGTTTCTTGCAGCAGCGCATCTCCGTGTCCTGCTTTACTTTGCTTCTGACACGCCCCGCCGTGAATTGCATCTCGAAAGGCTGGCATTCCTCGGCCATACTGTTCTGTTAACCTTCAGACGCCCCTGGGGGGGGCGGGGGAGAGCGGGAGCAGGGGAGGCTGGAAGCACGCTGCCACATCCACGGAATTGTGCAGGGGGTCCCTTCCCTCTGCCATGACTGCGAGAGAAGTCCCTCTCCTCGCCCTCAAGCCCTCTGCTGTGGTATTGGCTTCCACCTCCAGGTCTTTCCCCCCGCTTTGCTTTGCTCTGCGGCCCCGGATTTTTTTCGGTTCTCGAGGCTATAAGAGCGAAAACGAGAGCAGTCACGGGGCTGAGGCATGAGAACACCGCTTTGCGGAGAAACTGCTGACTTCGCTTCCTCCCTGCCGCCCCGGTCTCCACACGCACACCTCAGCATTCCACCTCCCGCCGCCCCCCTTGGCCCCCATCCTTCCCCTCTTCCTGGTGCTTCCCCTCGGAAGGATCCCACAAACTATGAAACACGTAGCACATTTGTGGAGCTCGGCAAAGGCGAGGGTATCAACCCCCTGCCCCCACCCCGCGTGTCCAAACTATGGCCGTGGTGGGTGTACGTGTGTGTTCAGACGGCCGCAGGTTGGGGACGCCGTCGAATTCCATGCCTCCCCCCTCGGCAATCCACTCCCCCCTCCCGCGCCACCCCCAACTGCAGGTGGGCGCGCAGCAACCTCCTGCGGCAGGAGCAGCTGCTAACCTCTTGCCACCCTTACCGTGGGATGATGGGCGGGGGGTGGAGTGGGGTGGAGGCTGCGAGAGCCAGCCGAGAAATGCCAATCCAGCAGCATCGGTAGCAGGAGGAGGAGGAGGAAGGAGCCAGCGTAGCGCGTGTAAGGAGGGAATAGTGTCGGGGGGATGGTCCGGAAATCCCGTGATAAAAAGAGGGAGTAGGGGAAAGTAAAGGCGCTGCCGGCTTGCCTTTCCTCTGTGACTGGCTGACCGCCGTCGTGCCCGGACACTAACCCAAGCGAGAGAACTTCTTGCGGCGCCTCCTGCCTGCCCGCGCCCTTCAGCGAGCGGCTTTCCTTCCCGAGGCGCACATGGACCCGGCCAGCAGCGGCAGGCGGAGCGACTAGGGGAGCCGGAGAAGCCGCCCGCCGCCCCCGCCAGGAGCCGCAGTCGGACGCAGCCGCTGAGCCAGGTATTTCGCGTGTCCTTCGCGCCCGCGGCGAGGGGCGGAGCTGTCCGGGGTGCTGACGGGTCCGCGCTGGGCGGCGAGGCGCCGCTGTCGGCAGCAGCCGCCGCCCGGGCGCGAGGAGGTGTCCTTGGTGCTGAACGCGCCTCCGCCGCCCGACGCTTCCGCGCCGCGGAGACGGGCTTTCCGGCTCGCCCGCTGCACGGCGGTAAGCGGCGCGGGGCGCGGGGCGCGGGTGGCGGGGCGGAGAGAGAAGAGCCGCTACTTTGTGGCGGCCGATTGGTGGAGTTGGCGGGGCAGAAGAGAGGGGTGCAAAGTGCCGCTGGATGCTTCGGTGGGACAAGCTCGGGGACACGTGCCACTCGCTGAACTCGAGGCTCTCGCAACTGGACTGCACGAGGGGTTTGCAGCGAGCTGCTCCTCCAGGTTGTCTGCGAGAGAGCTTGATTAGCTGATGGAGTCACTTAGTATCATTTGGGTACTTTGATCCCTTGATACCGAAAATACAAGGCATGGGAAAGCTGCCCAACACACAAAATACACATTCTTTGTGGGAAGTCTCTTTGCAACCTCATTGAAATTTGAAGCATGTCTCTTGATCCTTCGGTGCATGCACTGGTACCCCGCTCCCTGGAGCGCGATATATCTTTGATTGCAGAAGTTTGGCGTGGGGAAAATGGCCAATTCATGCAGTGCTGTGTTTTCTCTTAAGTAAATTCTTTCTACCTCTGCTTTCTTTTCTCTAAAGGAAAACATCTCTCAATCGAGGTCTTTCCTACTATGCTTGAAAACTAAAACAAAGCTTGTAATTTTGATTTAAGTGGCATGTTGTGAGCATTTAGGATAAGTGTGTTCCTTGCTGCAGCACCATTACCACTGGTAATGGGTCCAAGCTTTGCTGCCTCTTCTTAAGACCCTGTGCGTTTTTGGAGTTCATGTCCTGCTAAACAGCTAGATTTGGAGATGTCAGATAATGTAGAGAATTTTGCATCTGCAAACTGCTGCTCAAAGGGGAGAAATGGTGTCTTTTCTTTGCTAGTTAACAGCCTTAACTTTGCCGCCACAACCTGAAATGTCTATGCTGCAATTTCATCCAGTAGCTGTAGTTAGAATTATTTTTTCTAATCTCTCCAAAACACTTCCTGATGACTTTTAGTGAGACTATCCTTATTTTTAATGGGAGATATTTTCCACCTAACTTTAGACTCTTCTGGGATACATGATATCTGTGCCATCCCACCAGCCAATTTGCATTAAATCACTTTCCCTCTCCATCTCCCTCTCTCCTTCCCTCATAATGTGTCTGATATTTAACTCAATTTGACTGGAGTGGCTCTTCTGGTCAATGATGCAGACATGAGGTTGGCCATTAGAAGATACTGACAGAACAGCTTGCTGCTATGAATTCAAGGAGCGCAAGCGCTTCAACCTTCAAATGCCCCCCAGCGCTGCCTCTTCTCCTAATAGCTACTGCTCCCCCTTCCCTCCCCCCACACTATTGGAACAACCTCTTTCAAACATCATTAAGGATGAACCAAGTTGGAAATGTGTGATTCTCTGCCAGTTACAAAACCTCAACTAAACCCAATGAGCATTGCGTGGAACTGAACAGACCCTTCTAATGGCCTGATATAAAAACAAAACAGGTGCCTGGAAAATTCAATTAAACAGCTCTGTGGGCTAATCTATTTACATAGCAAACGAATGTTCTGTTGCTGTATCTCCTTCTTCTTTTCACAGAGCTCTGCTCTGCATGATTTTCTATCAAAAGATTCAAAGCGAATGGTTCCTAACTCCAGAAACAGTTTCCCATTAATTCAGTGCTATCCCATGTCAGCGTGAGATTGCTCCCTTTTTCCTACTTTCTAGCAATCCTTCTACAACATGTTTAAAAATATCTTGAGTTCTTAAGATGCCCAAACCATGAGCAAGTAACTTCTTCAGCTTCTGTATAAGAAATAGTGTATGATTTTGGGTGCATTCGAGGTGTTCTGTGGACCTGACTTTGGGAAGGACAAGTAGATCTGATGCAGTAAGACAGAGCACTGGGGTCAGAATACAAAATACTACTGCTAATCTTTTGTTTTGTAAATTCAGCTGCAGGCTACAACTCAAGGACCTGTCTCCCTCCAACTTGCATGTGAGAACTGATCTGGTGGGAAGGAATCTGAAGCCATCACCATGGAATTTGTCATGAAACAAGCTTTAGGAGGTAAGAGGAAAATGGTGCTATCTTGCAGCTGCTTAATGGGATGAATGAATCTAAAGCCATTGTGATTACATTTGAAAGGAAAAGATCATTGATAGAGCTATTGCTATGGTGTAGATGCTTGATGACAATGTGATTTCATACCTTTCCCTCTGCACTGACATTCTGAAAGCAATTTGGGCATATATGTATGCAAATTTCACATTGGTGATCTTACAGGCAGTGTTGTTTGAAGAAAGCCCTCTGTGGAGCACTGAGTAAAGTGGTAGAAATCTACCTACCTACCCATTCCATGCACATTAACTTCTTACCTCCTTCCCTATATATTATATAAAATGTGAAGCTTTTGGTAACTGCTGCTTTACAAAGCGTGAAGTATCATTGTATTCAGTTGTTGGATCTCTGTGCCAGTAGGGGGCAGCACTGAGAGTTGCCTTAAGACTATCGCTGGCTCCTGAATTTCCCTTCTAAACGCAGAGGTACTGCTTGAAACCAGTTTGACCGATATGGGTTGATTGGAGGGAAACCCACATAAGTCAGACCAGTTGCAAGCTGGCTCGTGGCGGTAGTGGAGAGGTGTCATATGGGACTTTGATAACTGGCATAAATCATGCAAAAATGCTGCGGGAGACTGCCCAGTGCTGATCATTAGCGTGCCTTCTTGCGGTCTGTATTGGCTGGTGGCTGATCGTCTAATGGATGTTGTGTATATGTCTGGGCAGGGTACAGATAATTTATAAGAAAAGGCACAAGTGAAGAGACTGATCCATGATTGTTACTGAGTGTCCTCACGGCGGGCTTCTCCTTCTCTTCCTGGACCTGGACCATTACGACGCACATTTTAAAATCCTCTTCCACTGACTAGCATTTCCAAGTCCTATTAAAGCTTGATTTGAAGGTCATTGACTGACAGTGATTTTGCAAATCATATTAGACTTCAATTTTCTCCCCCATATATATTATCCTGTAGGTGGTAGGACTGTTCTGTATATGTTTATGTAACTGGAAGGACTGTTGTGGTGCGGATGCAATTTGCAGTATAAAAACACATTATGATGCTATTCATCGGACACATTTACATTCAATTTAATTCTTCTTTATGTACAAGAAAATTGAGGATTTGGGTCCTTAAAAAGAAAAAGAAGGAAAATGATGTGTTCAACTTTTTTCATTATTATTTCTTTTGGATCCTTTGGTTGCCATTCTGAACATGCTTAAGCTATTAAGTCCCATTGAATTCAATCGCGTTGTGAGAATAGCACCCTTGGAAATGCATTGCATGATCCATCCCTTTGTGAATGTAGCTGACTCAGTGGGGGAGGCTTGGCAAGGGACCAGCTGAAGCCATTGCGCCCCCCCCCCCCCCAGCTCCTCCTTGGCATCCATGCAGCACTACAGCATATTGGCCACTGCAGAGATTAGGAATCTCATGCATGGCTGATGCCAATCTCCTCCTTGGTGCTTTTGCCTCCAGGTTACATATGCTCTGAAGATCTACAGGGAGGAAGGGGAAAAGTAAATGGCTTCAGTATTTGCAGTCCTCTCAATGGAGTGGTGGAGCCAGGACTGAGAGGAACATGGTGGCGACATCATCTGCCACCCACCCCAGACTTCCCTGTTCCCTCGGAGCTTACCTGCAATCCTGATGAATTTTCCCAGCCACATAATATTGCTCCCTGTCGTAATGCAAAATATTTTCAAGTGACCTGGTCTTGAATGGGACATTAAGACCCCTGAGCTTAGCAAAAGACCTGGAGGAGGTGGAAACGGCTGTAAATGGCATGTTGATTTGGGTCAAAATGGGCCTGACATTTGGGATCTCCTTGGGGATGCGGCTGGGAGGCTGTCACCGTGCATGTCTGCCCTTCAAAACATACTGTTATACCACTGGCTTTGCATAACTGAAAATGGAGATCTTTCAGACATTCAAATGCATTCGTGTTGATGATACTATTTTGACTTTCTATCAGGGATGGGCAACTTCGAGAATCCTGGAAAACACTTTTGCTTCCCAGACCACAGTCTGCCAGACAACCCAAGAATGATTGTTTTTTTTAAGAGGGGGAAAATGGAGTCTGGAGCACTGTGGAATGCCAAAAGATTAACTCTAATTTGCTTGTATGTTAAATTTGAGCCTTTGGACATGTTGGCATTATATGGTGGGCGGGGGGGGGGGAGGTAGAGGGAGAGAGAGTTCTATGCATGAGGATCACAGAAAAACTATTGCTCACCCAGTCCTAAATCCTAAGCGCATCTGCCTAGAAGTAAGTTCCAGTGAAATTCACTGGGGCTATTTCCAGTTAAAAGTGTTGTTGCCAATGCGGTTCATCTTGCCATCAATAATACATGGTGTGTCGAAATGTAAAGCTGGAGTGAAAAACAACAACCGGTTCCCTGAATCTGAGAAGATGGGAGAGGGCAGAGTAGCAACAGGTGAATATGAGCAAGTGTTTTCAGATGGGGTCCGCCTTTAAGATGCAAGGGAGTTAGGTCAAAGACTTCAGGGAAGAGTGGGCTTTGAAGGCAGAGGGGAATGCCGCAAATCTTCTGGGTTTGAGAAGGAGAAGCGAGCCTTGCCAAACCTGATGTTCTACAGATGTGATGAACTTCCTCTTCTGTCAGCCAGCGTGGCCATCCCCACACAGAACGTAATTGACTCAGAGAATATTTTGTTTCTAGTTGGACTTAAAATGATGATGATAATGAGCCGTCGCACCTTAGTCCAGTATTGCTGACTTTCATTGAAACCCTCCAGAGATTTACATGCCTGCCCCAATTTTATTGTGCACTTCAGATA